TGGTTTGTTTTAACGAGTACTACATACTCCTAAAATTTGGTACCACCTTTCGGGAACACCCTGTATATACACACACACACACACACAAACCCAAGTGTTTCAGATCATTCGGGTCATCCGATTTTTTCGTAAACGCAACATTTTAAAGAGAAACGCTTTAGACAAAAGTTGTAGGGTTTTAAATGATGGTAGTATTGGTATGACCTTGAATAGCATTGTCAAAGTTACGTGAAGGTTACCTTTAATTTTTTTAATAGAACCCCACATTTTTCATTACATACTCATGTAGTTTATCTCGAAAGCTTTGCAGAACACTATAACAAATATATTTTTTCATTACGTATTTTTTCATTAGGTATTTTTCGAGTTATAAAGCTTGAAATTTAGAATACCGCCGGCATTAGCATTACCCAAGGTGTATCGCGTGAAGGTTGCACAGTCGGATTTACACCTCTTTGTTTGTGTGTGTGTGTGTGTTGTGTATGTCACAGCAGAGGTAAGAATCCTACAGTTCGTCACTCCCGTAGTATTTATCGACTACAAACCCTCTCTGCTGTGTGTGTGTGTGTGTGTGTGTGTGTGTAACTGATGTAATTAGGCTTTATGTTCGAAATGTTTATAGTTTGTTTTAATACAAGCAAGTACTCTTATCTCTAAATTATTTGTTGCACGAAGAAATTCATGTAAAGAACGAAATTCATGTAAAAAACGAATAGAGTCGTGTATTCTACGAATCATATCCTCTCTTGTTGTAGGACGTTCGCGGTATATCAGATCTTTCAGTCTTTCCCACAAATAATAATCGAGAACAGTAAGGTCCAGTGATCGTGGTGGCCAATTATGTGAACCATACTTGCCTATCTATTTATCTGGAACATTTCGTCCAATCGTTTACGGGCAACTCTAGATGTATGAACTGGGCATCTATCTTGCTGAAAAAATATGTTTAGGCGCGATGGTAGAGGAATATTTTCAAGCAAGAGTGGAAGATCATTTTCAATGAAATTGGCGTATCGAATACCGTTTAAGTTATCTTCAAAGAAAAACGGTCCAACGACGTATTTTTCAATAATTCCACACCAAACATTGACTTTCCACACATGGTGGTTGTCAATTTATCGGAGCCAATAAGGATTTTCTTGTGTCCAATAACGACAGTTCCAAGTATTTACAGAGGCATCACTTGTAAATGTGCATTCATCAGAAAATAAAATTTTGTGATGAAAGTTTCGCGGTTGTTGATGAATCCAATTGCAAAATTCGAGTCTGTATCTAAAATCAGCATTCGTCAATGCTTGGCGAAGAGTCATTCTATATAGATGAAGTTTGTTTTCGTGAAGAATCCGGTAGATTGTGTTGAGCCTAATACCAGAATCTCTTTCTCTACGTCTTAATGAATGGTAGGGATGTAATTGAGCGGATGCAAGAATCTCCGGCGTCCTTTCATCCCTAACTTGACGTTGAATTCGTCTATCTTTATTGTGATCAGGTTAAATAATACCTTTATTGGTAATTCGTTTAACTAAGCAAGCAAAAACTTGGGAGTGAAGAGCACGATTTGGATATCGTTCTCGTCACAATCTTGCAGTTGTTTTAAATTGATTACCGCATTCACCTAAAATTAACATCATATCCAAAGTTTCAGCGTTTTGTTCGATAACTTGTTGCCATTTTGAAGGTAATTCCATTATGCCTCTCTCATAGAAACCCTTGTCCTTATTGGCAAAAAACTGGGACAGTTGATTTTCACAAGCTTCTCTTGAGGCGAATTTTTCACCAGCAAAATTATTCGCCACAGACAGGAACAGATGGTAATCACTTGGTGCCAGGTCCGGACTATAAGGTGTATGCATAAGAACCTCTCAACCAAGCTCCCGGAGCTTCTGGCGAGTCACTATCGATGTGTGTGGCCTGACGTTGTCCTGATGGAACACAATTCCTCTCCTATTGGCCAAAGCTGGCCGCTTCTGGCCGATTGATTCCTTCAGACGGTCCAATTGTTGACAGTACAGGTCCGAATTAAGAGTTTGGCCGTAGGGGAGCAGCTTATAGTGGATGATTCCCTGCCAATCCCACCAAACATACAGCAAAGCCTTCCTGACCGTCAATCCTGGCTTGGCCACCGTTTGCGCCGGCTCACCGCGTT